GGAGGCGGCAGCGGCCCACGTGGCGGCTCACGGTTGGCTGGGCGCGGCGGCGCGGGCGAATCGGACACGTCCGGCCGGTGGAGAAGTGTCCGGCGGCGTGAGGAGGACGAAAGTTAGGGTTTGACTGCGAGATTTTCAGAGGGGGTCTATATTTATAGGTAGAGGGAGCTAGGAGGCTCCAAATTGAGCACATTTTTTAGCCACGCGATCGTGATCGAACGACCAAGAGGATGGAGGGGGTTTAGCTGGGCTTTGGGCCACTTTGGAGAGGTGTTGGGCTGCAAAACACACGAGGCCCTTACGGTTCCTCGGTTAAACGTTGAAGTATCAAACGAAGTCCAAATGGCACGAAACTTGACGGACGGTCTACCGGTGGTGAACCAAGACCGCTTGGAAAATCTCGGTCCAATCCGAGAACGTTTAACACCCGCACACGAAAAGAGACAAAAGGGGACGCCGGAGGACATAGGAGTGTCGGATCGTAAAACGGACAACGGGGAAAATGCTCGAATGCATGAGACGAACATGTATGCAAATGTGATGCACATGATGACATGATATGAAATGCATAACACGCAAACAACTGACGAGGCAACAACATCGAATAACTGGAAGACACCTGACGCATCGGCCTCTGGGCGTTACAACCATGCATGTGCAGATGGGAGGACAGAGGGAAGAGATAGACCATGCATGTGGTTGGTCAAATGCATGTTTGAGCAAAGCCCCCCATGTTTGTCTCTTGGATACCGGAATCCGTACGTCCAGATACTAAGAAGATATATACATGTCCCTGTTGGATGACAAAAATGGTCCAAACACTTTTTGTGGACCCACTTGACTCACTTAGTCATAAGTCTAGTATCTTGTTTGTGACGTGAGTTTCTCGTTGCTTAGGACATCTCCAACGCAACCTGCAAATTTCCTCCCGCGTCCGTTCGCAGACAGAACGGTTCAGTCTGCAGACACGGATAAGGAGGCCGCCATCTAACCATAGCCGCATATATTTTGACAACAATTTGAACTAACCAGACAAAATTCATCCAAACCGAACGACTTTTGATATAAACACGGCGGATTTCATTTGAAATATAATAACTTATACATAAAACCGGATGATATGTCGCCCGGTGAACTAAAAGCCTTAAAATAAAATCCTAAACTACCATATACTTGACGGTGACCTTGTACGCTTTGCTGAGCTGGCCGGCGGCTCCTCCTCCATCATCGTCGCCCGCTCCGTCATCTGAGTCGGAGTCGTCAAGATTTGGGCGGCGAAAGGTGGTGGCATCGCGACAGGGCTTCCCGGCAGCCGCCTGACCCTGGCGAATGATCCTCTCCACTTCCTCCTAGTAGTCGTGCGCAGTGTGGCCACGGCCACCGATGACATGGGCGGGGAGAGGGCGGCAGGCCTGGGAGGAAGCGGCATTGGTGGCGGTGATCTCGACGAGAGACCACTCCTTGTCGTACTCCGCCATCTCCCCATCGAGGCGGTGGAGACGGCGCTTGCTCGTCTCCGCCATCATCGCAGAGCGGTCCAGAGCCCAGGTATATGCCATCTTCGAGTCCGCCATGATGTATGGTGGCGGGACGTCGGAGCCAGCGAACTCCGACCGGCGCGCCGCGTTGCGTCTGTCCCGCCGGCGCCGCTCCCTGTCGGCATACTCATGCGCCGTTAGGGCATTCCTGGACGATGAAGAGTCGTCGCCGCCGCCATTGAGATTGTGCCGAAGGCGACCATGTGTTTTCGCAATCGCAATGGGCACGACTAGCGGTGCTCCTCCTTGACGCGTCGTGGTGGAGAGAGTCACTCCTCCTTGACACGTTGGGGCGACGAAGAGAGCCACTCCTCCTTGATGCGCATTGCCGGCGATGAGAGGCGCTGTTCATGCAGCATCCGATTTGGACACCGCGGTTGCATGGCGGAGAGCGCTGAGGGGATGCCGGCTCCGGCTTCACGGGGAGGAGCATCTTCGGTGGCGAAGCCAGGCCGTTGAGGCGGAGCACTGAGCGACGGAGTACTAGCTCCATTTGCTCCTCATACTCCATGTCGGTGGCGGCGTACACCTGCCGGCCACCGCCGGCGCGGATTGCTGCGGCGGCTGGTCCTCCTCATTGCTGGAGGAGATGGTGATCTCCGCCTTCGTCGAGGATCCGCCCGCCGATTAGGACGACGGCCCCAAATTTGAGGGCGGCGTCGCCACGATTCGCCAGAGTCCGCCCTAGATCGCCGCATGCTGATGCCGACGCCCAGGACTTGCCCATCGCCGGAGATGTGGAGGGAGATGGGCAGGGAGAGGGGAGGAGGATAGACTGCGATGTGGATGGCGATGTAGCGCTGCTTATATAGCCGCGGCCAGGCCATGCGAAGGGCTGGTCAGCCACTTCAATGTGACGCAGCAGCCGGAGTATGTTCCTCGGGAAGTTGCGTCCACATTGAAGCGGCGGCTCCCGAGATGACGTGTCGATCAAGCGCCGTCCTCCCTCACTCGAGTCAATCGCGGCATCAATGAATGCGGTCCGTAAGCGGCGCGTGCATCAGAAGGAAAGCGCGCGAGGGCGGGTAGGGGATTTTTGGTGGAAAGGGTGGTCCGAAGTAGACATGATAGTGATCCGGACTCCGGCAAAGCTCCATATTTGTCTTTGTTTTATGAGAGAAAATTTGTTTAAACCATGCCGTGGGCCGATACACGGCCACGTTGAATAGCTTGCATGATGCGGACAACACGGTCCAAACGGAAGGTTCGCGGGTCGGGGTTAGAGATGCTCTTGCTCTGTTCACTCGGATGTAATCGGAGAACTCGTGTTTTTCACTCGGTGTACGCGGTTATACAGGACAACGCGTGATTTTCCTGTACTTCAATGCAGATAGAGAGCTTACCCGGTTAAAAAAGACAGAGACGCTCGAATAAACAAGAGCTCACCGCTCATAAATAAACATTTTCTTTGCGGGTAGCCAAGCACGAACTTCCCATGCATTATATCTACACATAGAGGTCTTGGGTCATCCACCACCACACCAATCCGAACACTGAACTACGTTCCGCAGTTTACAGAGTTACACCAATCCACGGAGCCATCCTGACTCAAGACCCGTTGCCCCATCTCACGTACAGCTTAAATTATTTCTCGGTCTCCATGCATGCATGGGCTTAATGTGTGCCGCTGACCACGTGACCGTGACCGAAGGTACGCTTTGCGGCCTCGACGTGGTCGTCGTCATCGTCGCCGTCATCGTCCTCGACAGATCCGGACCTGCCGTCGGCGTGGCTTATCTTCACCAGCGGAAGGTAGCGCGGCTCCTCGTGGTACAGCTTGGTGAGCTGGAGGTACAACACGACGACGAACAGCACGGTGGCGGTGAGGTACCAGCTGAACTGCAGGTTGACGAGGGACTTTGCGCGGTGGAGCGCCTCGTCGGTGCGGCAGCGGACAACGTTGTGGCCTTCCTCGAGGTTGATGAAGCATCCCTTGGAGATGAGCCCCGGCGTCCAGAGCATGACGCCCATGACGATGAACCAGACGCCCTGCAACACGATGCTCGCGGACCGCACCAGGCTCACGGCGAAGCTCCCAGGGCAGGCGAACCACAGCAGCGTGGCGGCGAGCGTGACCGCGATGACGGCCTGCAGCAGCCAGTGGAACTGCCCCTCCACGCCCATGTGGTCCGTGGAGTGGAGGTGGAACATGAGCAGCTCCTGCGCGAGCGCCGCGGCGGCGACCAGCTGCGAGACGGCGTCCCGCATGGGCGCCCGGACCCTGTCCATGTGGAGGGTGGCCGCGGCGAAGAGGAGCAGCGCGAGCGAGATGGACGCGTGCTCCAGGTTGTGGAGGTGCACGGAGGGGATGGTGCCGTCGTCGTCGAACGGTTGGTGCTTCCTGGGGCTGCCGAAGAGCTCCATGAAGATGGACGCCGACGACCCGACGATGATGAGGATGAGCTCGAGGTGCCGGAGGCCCCGCGCCGGGAACGGGAACCAGACCGGCGCGACGTAGGAGCTGGGACTCAGCGCCAGCAGACGGATGTGGTTGAAGAGATGCCACAGGCCGATGAGGAGGAAACCGGCTCCCGGCGCAACATGGCCGATGAGGGACCCCATGGCTACCGAGCTAGAGAGTGGGGCGGTGGGAGGGAATGTTTCAAGTTTGAATCAATGGTTTGATGCGAATTAGGGGGGAGGGCCTCGTGTTTAAATAAGCAAACCAGCCACCTCCTTGGTGCTCGTGTCCGCCTATTTAACTCTAACAATTTGCATGCATATATCCTCTCAACATACACATACACTCATTCACTATAAACGCACGCACTCACATTTCTATGGGTATATTTAAAATACTGAGCCTATATCATATTTTAAGATTGACGAAGTCATCAAAAATTACTCGTAGTCGGCGGGAAAGTCTCTTCCGCTGAACAAATATCGTCGAAAAGTCTGAAACGAATTCAGAAAAATACGAGCATCAATGTTGGAACCCTGAAGGACCGGTTCCACCACAAAGAATCTATATCGTTTGAGCTACGCTTAGTTCGCTAGTCCATACTGTTAGCGTGTCAATATCAACGTAAGTGGACTTCCATTAGCGTGTTGTGATACATCCTTCTGATTATACAAGTTTAGCCTGAGAATCAAGTCTTGTATATATTGTAATCAAATCAAATCTTCTGTAGCCACCCCGCAAAGAAAAAGAAAATCTTCTGTAGCCAGTACCGATGGTAGCCAGACATATTAATACACATCACGTGGCCAAGCAAGGGGTGGCTTGCGGCTACTCTTACACAAAATGGGATTGCTAAATCTTAGTCGAAGTCCTAGTCGATGTTATATTCGTAGATTTTAAGTAAAGATCTGTGCATATTTTGAGAGTGGCGTTACTGGTAGGGGTGGCATCTGAACATGTTATCCTGGCCATAGGTCCATCTCTAGGGATTTGGACTTGTGGGTCCATCTTTAGGATGTACGGGTGTAAGAAAATGCAGTCATCTGACGCTATACTATGAGGAATAGTGATGTACGGTAGCCCGCGGGCTCGTTTATTGAAATCCAGGTTACCTTGACGAACCGAGCCGTGGCTCGCCTCCGTAACGAAAAGTTGTGCGGGGATCAGAAATGTATGCGCGCCGTTTGCTGCAAAAACATCACCGTCAAGGTTCAGTAAATGCTGACGGCGGATGAAGCGTGGGGCAGCAAAAATATCTCGGACAGCTTTAAGAAAAAAAAAGAGACACCTCGGTTCCCATCTACTCAGTTGAGCCCTTCCCCCTAGCTCGACGGCGGAGGGCAAATAAATGGCGGCGGCGAGCAATATGGCGGAGTTTGCGGACCTACGCCAGAATGGGCTCGGATATCTGCTGGATCTGATTGACAGGTAATTTTTCCACCGTATTATTCTGTTCGATTCGATCCGAAGACGTGTGAGCAGAAATAGTCAATGACTGGTCTTCGGTTTGTTGAACATGCCATAGGCTCCCGCTCAGAGAGGTCACTGCGGATGTTGAGCAGCCAGATCCATTGGTGTTGACGTCTGTTGAGCCGTCCGCACCTGCAAACGCTGACTCGTCGTGCGCGGGTGTGGTTGGACAACTTGGCGGCGTTGCTGAGCAGAACGATCCCGCTGGCAGGAGGAAACAATAGCAAACCTAGCCCGTGAGTCGACCGGGAAGGTGAACCCAGAGGCACCTGGGTGAACCAGATGGTATACATAAAATTCAATGTTCTTTCTCTCTGGATTCATGTTTTATTTTTATTTTTAGTGCCTATGTTGATAGATGTTAGGGACATTACTACTACTGTCAACTAGCTGACCCCCTGATTTTGGTCGTCATCCTCATCCATGCGCGTAATTAGCATACATAGCGGTTTGTGGACAGATCATTACGTCCAAATGTGCTGATGCACAAAAATCACGGCCCCACTGTTATATGTGAAAGGATTGCATCATCTCAAAACTGTGAATTCAATTTCAGATTAAGACTTAAGAGTAGGACGTGACCCTCCGGACAGGGCACCCTATCCAGGTATAGTCACTCCATTAGAAGAAACAATCAGGAGGTACGCTGATAAACTCTCAGACAATGTAGTGAAGCCAGAGATTGGGATGAGTTTTGACTCACTCGGGGAAGCATAAGATTTCTATAACCTGTATTTTTGGGAGCTTGGATTTGATATACGAGCAGACAAAGTGTATGCAGGAGATTGTTAATGGATGCTCGGTTAGCACTTAAGAGTTAAGAGCCGAGAAGAAAAGATTTGGCAGTTTTTTAACATATTGATTGCACGGGAATTCATTTTTAAAATTTGACACGGAGAAAACATTTTTTTGCAGGGGAAGCCTGAGCAGCAAAATAACTGATCTTGCCGGTGCGAGTGCCCTGCAATGATGAGATTACTTACAGGTGCAGACAATGATGGCTCATCGCTGAACACTGGTCAAGCCACAACCATTCATTGTCTCTTACTTGCGGTGAGAAAGTTCATTGGCCATCCACAAGCACATAAATGTGTACAATGTGAACTTGAACAAGGCACAACATGGTTGGCAGCTTCTTTGGTTCAACCCAGAATGTGCCTTCAACAAAATGGACGCTGCGCAATCTGTGTGGCTGGATAAGTCAAGACCAGACTGACGATGATGGAAATAAGACACTAGCTGTGTTCAAAGGGATACAACGGAATGATCCAGAATTTACCTACCGAGTACAAGGTGATGAGGAAAGAAGGATCAAGCGAGATACCTCATGAGCTGAAGATGTTCTTCCTCCCCTGCCTCCCTCGAACACTGGAGCTGTTGTTCGGTCGCCGTCCACATCCGAAAGGCCCCCACCAAGATCCTCCAAGAACGAAGGACTCCAAGAGAAAAGCCTCATCAAGATCCTCACCAAGGTATTCCCATCAGAATTATGGAAGTGTTCAAATGCTAATGACCTCAAAAAAATTCAATTACACATGCTTTAGCATCTCAAAAGGCACTCAAAAATGTAACATGTACATGCTTTAGCAAATACATATCTTTTTTCAAGTACCATTACATGCTTAAGAATTACTCTGAACTTCTGTAGTGTGAATTGCATATGTAGTGTCTGTTTTCAGAAAACAACCTTGTTTATGTGATGGTTCAGTGGTCAAATGGTATTATTCTTGGCTAATTTGTTTTCTAGAAACAAACGATTCTGCAGTCACAAGTCCTAGAAAAATCAACAAGGCAGTATTGGTGATTTGTGAGAACTGAACCATTGAATCCAGTGAGAACCAGGATGCTGGTATTTTGAGTCCAGTGAGAACTGAACCTTTGAATCCTTTTTTCAGGGCACTGCTCAGATTCTTTTGATAGGGTCTAGTTAGTGCTAAAAGCATACAAGGTACTTGTCATAAAGTTCCTGTCATCCCACTCCATTCAAAAAATAATTGTAGATTTATACAGCTATTTAGACAGTAAACTTTTGCTAATTGTTCGCGGATGGACAACTTGACAGCTTGCTCTTTCCTTAATCATTTCATTGCAATTGCTCGGGAACTTGCACAACATACAGTAGATTTCTATCTCGTATCTTACTCAAGTTTTCTGTATGACTTCTTAAAGCTGCTGGGAAATTGTCAAACCGATAGCTAACTTAGAAAATAGTAAGATTGGAATTAGTACTTGCTAATGCCCGACACTTGAGGGGGAGGCCAGTGTTCTGAACTTAATTGCTTTTCGCACCTAACAGGTAAATATGTGAGAAGTTTAACTGTCCATATCAATCCTAGTCATACTTGTAGAAGTCTTTTTCAGGTAGTAGCCATATTAAGCCACACATCCTTTTCTCTTCAAGAATAAGTGCAAACCTTTCAAATTATACAGCAATCGATCTAAAAAAAGATATACACGAGTTAAAATATAAGATCCTAGTACACTTTATTCAAAACTCTTCTGCTAATTAAACTGCCTTTTGTGAAGACATAGTATAGTCGAGCATTCATATGGTGATTTCCAAGTATAGAATTATCTATAAATTCACATCCTAGAAGAGAAACAATCTCCAAGCCTCATGCTCGAATTAAATTTGGTTTGCACAAATAATTATTTACCATCTGGATTCAAATATGTGAGCATGACCATCTGTCTACAATATTTTCGATCATGCCAATAACCATCTGCCAATGCATCAGTTCTCTTGTTCATCTCAGTGACAATCAGCCTATTTCCATTTTGTGCCAGGCCAAGTCTTCCAAGCAAAACAGCAGGAAGCAAGAAACTAAGCAGTAGTTTGTAATCCTGTTGAGTTTACTGATTGGGCATCCTGTTTACAATGTTGAGTTTACTGAATGGGCATCATGTTTCAGAATAATTTTGAAGGTTCTCTGACTGTACACTGAATCTTATGTCTTGTTTCTTTCTGTACACTTTTTGAATGAGCAAGAAACCAAGCAAAACATTGAGTTTACTGAATCCTGTGTCCTTTTGTACACTTCTAGTAATCATCAGCTAATACACACTGCTGTAGTTTGTATCTTTCTGTTAGACCAGCATGGTCGGCCGCGCTAATTCTAGTGTTGTGTGCGTTATGCGAGCTGCACTAGTTTGGTTGATTCACTAATTTGGCTGCACTTGTTCCCTGTCAAATTGGCCTACGTGGGTGTATGTGGCCTGTGCGCACGATGAAGAACAACCGGCAGGTAGCGGCGGCGGCAGGGATGGATTTTTCTCGAGTGTGGAGGGGTGGGGACTGGGACCTACGATTACCTATCCACCCCACCGGCTGGTAGGTTGCCGTTCGCTGCGTCCGTCAACACGCAGTGTCGCACCGGAACAGGGAGGCGCAGGAAGAAACCTGATCCATCCACGAGTATCCTGTACCGGTCTGACGGAGTGGCTGAGCAGCAAATTAATGCGTGGGCCCTGCCCTGGAATACTATGGCAATACGTTTGTCGCATACAGTGTGGAATACAGAGAACGCATGCATCCCCAGAAGAGCCATCGAACGTGATTTCAGGATCAGCTGTGCTCAGGACCAGATGCAAATTTTCCGCATATATTTTACTTTTTTATGTTATATTACTTGACTGAACCTTGGTTAAATCTCAGTCGACTGATATCTAACCACGCCCTACACAAAAATTC